AATTAGGTTAAGTAGGAAAGTAATAGTAACAAGAGAGAGATAGAGAGAGAGAGAGAGAGGAAGAGAGAAAGAGAAAGCAAACGATGATGCTTTAAATGAGGAAATTGTTTATGATTTGAAGGATAGATAGGAATTGCTAATAATGTTCAGCGAGACACTTTAAAAAGCAGAAAGTAGAATGTGCTGATTATGGAAAACTCAAAAAAGTACTGTCGATGATAGCTTTCATTCTTTACTTATCAAGTTCCATCACACTTTTCCACAGTCTATCTTGTATCGAATTTTTGAACTGACTAATGCTTATCCTTCTTGTTTTGTTAGCATACTTTCGCTCTTTATCTTTTTTTTTCTTCATATTTTAGACTTCCCGATCTACATTTTTGCTATTATCAATCGTTTTATAAATGTGATCCTGAATTTGGCTCATTTATTAAACAGAATTTCGAAAATTATAAGAAATACCATTTGATGAAGTTCCATGCTTAAATGTATTTTCATCATAGAAAGTTGCATTTTGGAATTGTTGCTGATGCATTCCAATGATTCGTTCATATTCTTCAACTGTTTCCTCTACAAAAGCAATAAAATTGAAACGAACTATTTGGTGTTAATCATCGGGCGGAATAGTTCTTTCATTTATCAATTTGAAAACTTAATATGCAAGGCTAATTTCAAATGTTTAGCATTCCCTTCATAAAAATATTATGATTTCTATGCGCCAAAGACATAATTGTGATAAAAAACTAGAAAGTTATTCAAAGGATGCGATACGGAATGCTTAAAAAAAGAAAAATATTCTTGGAGAAGTTTGTCAATGCTTGTTGAAATTGTAGAAAAGTTTTACTGAAGGCGGCGGATGCTTTGGGTGATTTATAAAGAACTTGTTGTTGCAATAATTTCCGATTCTCTTCCACACGTTTAGCGTTTGCCGTTGTCCAATTTTCAATCTTTATTGGCTTCGACATTTTAAGTTTTGGTTCTAAATGGATATTACTACCAAAATTTGCTTGTGGATTGACTCATTTTGAGTATTTTCTAAAACCTCACAAAGATATTTCTAATATGTTGGACGGAGAAGTTTCAAAAAGGTATTTCAAAATCATAATACTGAGGCTGTGGATCATGAATTATCGTCAAATCGAATAAAAAAGATGAAAAAACTATTTTATATCTATAGTTTAAAGCTAACTATTTCAATGATTAAGGATCACTTCTTTCTGAATTTATTCAAAGTCAGCCATTATTTTAATCTTGTATTGCCTTTCTGGATTTTTTTTCTTGAAAATCTTTTTGGAAAATTTTACCAGTACAATTAGTTGTATTACTGTGTTTAATTAAATGTCGTCTGATGATCCATGTAGGATGGGTGCCATCTGCTAATAGTGGTAAGCTGTCTATTGTAGAGTTCCAGCGCAGGATTTTCTAAAATTTCGTTCAACTTCATTTTAATCTGCTCATGTAATTATCACTTTACAACATATCTTGTAATTAAGACCGAATTCAGGTATTATATTTAGTATTCAATTATACCGAGCTTGTTATTCTCATAAGAGGAATTATTTGACTTGACACTTGTCGAATACTTTCACTTTCTATTAGTGTCCGTACATTCCCCATTAAGTTATTTTTGTCAGTTAAGCAACCAACTATGAAAATATATCATTTACCAAAATATCTGAAACTTTCGTTTTCTTTCAGTTTTCAGTTATTATTGTCAATATTTATATTAAACTAACAGTGCACATTTTTTATCGAATATTTTATAATTATTCACTTTCACAGTTTTTATTACTTGCAAAATTGCAAAAATTTCAACCAGCACAGTACTCAAGTTGAAATATGAATTCTTAAACAGTGATGAGCACATGAAACGTTGCTTTTCTATTTCTGCCCGAAGTCTAACAAAATCAAAGGATATAGATTGATTGTCATTTATTGGGTTAATGCAACTGGCAAATATCAACAGCATATTTGGCCTAGAAACTGCTTAAACTTGTGATAGAATTGTGAGGAAAAAATTTTTGCAAAGGAGATGAAAGCTTTGAAGAACAACCAGGAAGACGTAGCACATATTTTCGAGTATTTGACAAACGCCGAAGGAGGGATTTATACGCTACGGAATATATAAACTTATTTCTCATTAGCAAAATATGCTGATTATCATTATTGTAACTTGAATTAAAAGCTTGTACTAACTTAAATATCACAGATTGTTTACTTGTATTAATTTCAAACTACGGTCCGAAACTAGAATTGTGATTGTTTAAAGTTGAACTTATGATAATTATTTAACAAATTTCATTTCCTTTTCATATTTTTCTTTCAATTAGTAACCCTATTATTCCGTTTATTCTCTTTTAACAGAAAGATAACCTGAATATCTGTTGTGGAGAATTTTTGAACTGACATAGTTGGTCGAAGCTTGATCGATTTTCGAATGATGGATTTTGTTTGAATTACTGTTGTCTCAGCCTTCACAGTTCTGCAAAACCTATCTATTCATAGAATTGCGATATTATTAGTTTTACAAATTGTTTAGTGTAAGCTGTCTCTCCGATTTTTCTCCAAATCTTGAAATAAACTCCCTGAACGACATTTTTAAACATAATTTTTTCTCGATGTAGCAATGTTATGAAGCATCGCTAATGTAGACCGCAATTACTTATCGGTAATTAATTGTGGTTCAAATAAATGATCAATAATTATTTGTGAGCAGATCAATAAGGATAAATGAAATAATTAATACAGGCCCATTCTAGTTAGCATTTTGATAATGCTCTAGAGAAGAGAAAAATTGCTTGTAATGGTGGCAAGAGAAACCGAAGGAAGAGTAGGGAAGGTAAGATTTGTGATTTTGTATGCTCCGGCAATTCAAAATTCCGTCAAAGCCATTCTTCATACTTTCCAACCAGCATTCCGTTCAATTACAACGCGACTCATTCGCCATTTCCTGATCTTTCGAGTTCAAACTGAGGACCTGAGTTGCAGTTCCATCTTTGTGAGATATGGCTGCATATGATCCACCGTTTCCACATTGGTCACATTTCGTCCATTATCAGCTACAAAAAAACCAATTAAAATTAAACATTGTTTCCATTCTAGCAGCAAGCCTGTCATGCTATCGATCAGCGGCCATTTCTCCTTTCCGGCTTTGATGACAGAAAGCATCAGTTTATCTCGTTGTAAGTTAGATGATATATCACTTCAGCAGCGAGCATAAAATAAAAGTTTGTTGTTTTAGTCGGCCCAGCATAATACTTTTCCCATAATCATTTACATTCGTCCTTTTCTGATAAAAATGATAATCGTAATTCTCGCATTTAGTTCCAACTATTTCAATTCATCCTAAAGTCGGTCGGCATTAAGAGGATTCTTCTTGCCCATTTTTTATCAGCAGGATTCCATTAGAGTAGGTTTCAGACAGGTTGATTACTTTCATGACATACGCTCTTGCTGATGATACTGGTAAGATACTCGAATCATTCGACGCTTTTATCATATTATTTGTGATACTGGTAGTGAAAACAGTGCTGTCATTACCAGGTAAATGTGATGATGGGAATCTCTTCGACGCCATAAGGTACCATGTACTATCGTTGTCTCCAGTGAAAGTTGGAGTTTTCACAGCTTTCCAACCCCTTATCTTTTTATCCACATTACTTTCGAAGTCTAATGCTTTGTAAATAAACAAGGATACATTTGGAATGAATCATAGCTACAATTTAATCTTCCAAAAATTTAAAATTTTCTCTAAAGGAAATACATTATCATAAATCTTTCAAACAAATGAATAAGTGAAAACAAATTCTCGATTCTCCTCAAGAAAAATGAAATATTTTTGAAAATGTTTTCCTCGCATAAAAAAGAAAAATGGATTTTTTACAGCGGTGAAATTATAATAAATATGAAGGGATCACACCATCAACTATAATAAGCTATTTCGATAGCTAAACTGGTATGTCTTTTGCGCGATGTATCAATAAAACCATTAAAATTTTATATTGCATGCATTTTGCTTTATTTCTATTTACATTCATTTCGAAGGATTATTTCAAACAGAATATTCTTCAAAATACCAAAACATGGTTGCTGATATGAATGATATGGTTGCTCATAGTTACTGATTGGCTTCATATATTTCATTCCTGATTTAATTGATAAACGACTATCATAAAACCGTTTTGGCTTCCTACAGTTGGCTGTTGCACGCATTTCAGAACAATTCACACCAAGCTCCTTAAATTAGCATATATCCGCTTTGCCTGTTACGTAAGAAAATATGTTGAAATGAGCAACAGATAGAGTGGATCCATTTCTATTGATGAAAAAATGAAAACACAAAAATGAACATTAAGCTCACGAAAAACTGTTCTGTTTCGGATTTTTCCACAGTTCCCATCCCGATTTACAGAATAGTTGACTGTTATTATACCGATCGATGTCCAGAAGTGAATTCGAAGGTCATTTAAACATTACAATTCAAAAAATCTCATTTGGTGAAACAGTATGTTTGCTGACATATAAACATAAATTATTAGAAATTCGAGTTTTTCGAAAGAACTTTTTTGGAAGATTAGTTCATTTTCATTGTCGTATGACTGAATCTATAAAAACGAATTCAGATATGCTATTTCAAAATTCAATACCCATTAATTAGCGGAATCCAATTTAAAATGGTCAAGTAATTCTACTTAATGTAAGCTGAATAATTCATACAAGCATTAAGCAAAAACAATCAGTTTATTTCCATTTCCATAGCTGTATTGGTGGATCTATAAAAACAACTGATTGCCAAGGAACAAAAGCGTGAAAATTGAAGCGCTTTGAAATAGTATCAATGAGTAGTCAAATTATTAGTGAAAGGAGTGATGTGACTTTTTTCCCGTTTTGGTTAGCTTCTTTATCAGATAATTAACAATGATCGGCCTACATATGCATGCATGGATCGTTGTGTGTTTGCTCAACATGTCCCAGCACAAGCACAAGCATAAGCATTGTAATGTCATTTCGCTCATTCAACCATCCATAACCTTCCCTTGTTTACAGTTGTCAAACAAGATCTTTAACACATGACCGAAAGTCATAAAACAAATTGTGCGTGATAAGGATCAAATAACTTTTTATAAAATGAAAATTCTTGGTAGGGCAACACATCTTCTAAACAAATTTTCACATTGTTTAAATAAATGGATAGGTTAAGGTTGCGATAGTATGAAAACTCAAAAATAAAGATATCTAAATCCACAGCAGTAGAGTTCGTTGATTTATTTAGTTAACTGAACTTGTCCTTCATTCTAGATAAAACTTCCGACACAACGACCTTTGATCATCGAAGTATGACAGTATCTTAACACGGTTAACCACTTCAGCATATACTCAGTAGTAATATTAATAAATAGCGGTCAGTCACGCTATTCTATTCGAACTGATCAAGCCAATGTGCTGTCACCGCCTCATTCCGGGGCCTCCTATCTCAGTTTTGTATTATCTTCCGACAATGCTCATTGTTTTCATCTTCATACTGTCCTACAAAATGAACAAAATGTTCAGTCATTCGTCACTTATTCATCTGTCTACCACAAGGCGAAAGTAACACCATCCTGTTCCAATTAAAATTTGGAAATTAAGAATGGGACTTTCGATTTTTAAAATTGCAGAGTTTATAAATTTCATACCGCGTTTTCGTCTGTGTTCGCAGAAGTGCACAACCATCCTTAACGCACTGATAGAATTAGGTCATGTGGAACTCACTTTTGCGTTTAACTGATTGTAACATTTACTTTAGCATCTATTTTTCGCAATTTTATTCTTAAATAAAGATAATGTCTGGATAGGACAGAAAAAATTCTGCATAGGGCTGAAAACAAGCCTTTTTCTTAATGAAAAAGATCGTTTGTTTGTATAACACAAAAAAAGATACTAAAAAGCAGAATTAATGCTTATACAGTTATGACGTAGTTGTTCGCTTCAAATTTTCCTCCTTGCAATGTACAAAATCTTCCATTTCCTGATTTCTCCAGTAGATTCCACGTCCACGTAAAGAATCACTTGACTGGCGCAGTTTATATGCTCCTAGAAAAAGATTTAGCAGACTCAGTTCAGCATGTTTAATTTGCTAATGACATAAAATTTTCATTTTTCTTCTGACTGATTACATTACCTGAAGATAAGCTCCAAAAACGAATTGAGAATTTAAATAGGACCCTTAATACTAAATTATTTTCTGCTGTAGGGTTGTAGACCGTTAAGCAATTTCAGCTATAATATTTTGTAAATTTTGAACATTTAGTGAATGTCCACTGACTGTAAAATTGGAAATAAGATGAGGAAGGCTCGCTGTAATATCTTTTCATTTATGCCTTGAATACCTTTGAACTGAACTGGAAGAAAACGGATTGCTGAATTCAATTGCAAAAAGATTTGAATTTGAAAAGAGTTTGTAAAGGAAATTTGAAAAGAGGAAATTACAATCGATACGGCTGAACGGTGTTATGGTAACCCATCATTGAACGAAAATACAACTGACACATGTGGCACATTTTTCGGAGATATATAATTCTGCAGGAACTTCTCCATAATTTGATATAAATAAATTTCACTGAATGGGGATTACAATAGATAATTATGCTGTGACCTTAAAATGACTTAATTGCTAGATTAGTGAAGACTTACCCAAACCAACGCCACCGAATATTACAATGATACCAGTGGTAGCGGTAAGACGTTGAAATACAACTGACCAACCCATGGAAATGACCTGCAAGCGTGATAAAAGCCTTAGATACAAATAACAACTGACAGCACTGACACTGACAAATTCGCCCGTTCACTTCTAATCAAAAGAGGCTGTTTCATTAATCGGTGATCAATCGGATTTATTGTTGATATTACTTTTTCGTAGAACTGAAAAATGTTTGAGGAAACTTATTCTTAACGGAGCAGGTTAGATTTCAGTGCTGCGACACCGCGGCATCCAGTTAACGAGTTTAAAGACAACAATGTCTACCTTAATAGCACCAAATATTTACTTTTTATTATGTACACCAGTTCCAATCAATGCTTCGTTTAATCCATAGTCGGACCGACTATATCTAATACCATAAAAATATCGAGACTTCAGATGTCTCACAATTCCACTTCGAATGACCGATGAGTTTTGAGAACATGTGAACTATATAAGTACGTAGTCTTCTTATCACTTGAAAACCAGTCATCAATTTGGATCATTTGCAGTGCATATGGCATTCGGATCATACTCGCTGTCACCAAATCATACTTGTGCCGCCATATCATTTATAGGTCTAGCTATATCATTCTACACATTGTACGTGGAATACAATTTAGATAGTGACATCAATTACCAACCAATGTGTGATATCGCTTATTATGTTAGTTGCTCGAAAGCTTTTCGTTCACCATTTGCCAAAGGTTTCGGAGTTGCATCATCTATCCTTGAAACTGATCATATATTGATGCAGGTACGTCAAATAAACATACAACTATTTGATACGATAAAATGTGTCATTGTTAAGAGATTATGTAAGAAATATGAAAATACAACACCAAATTTAGCCCACTGATCCAGTTTGATCAAATGGAGGGGAATAGATTTCGACTTTGAATACTAATAAAGATGTGCGTGAGAATACACAGTGATGTACATAATACGTTTACTTTGCAGCTTATGATGAAATCCAAATCATAAAATTAGAGTTTCAACTATGATACACTTCCCTTATCTGAAAACCATTTGTATACATGATCAACTGGAATTATTTCAGAAAAATCCCATATACGGTTGTCTTTCTTATATCTTCATGTTCATACTACAATTCATCCAGAGTTCTGCAGCGAGGAAGTTATCACAGATTTTGTCGGTATTCATGAACTTCCTGTCAATATACCTTCTTTTTGTTCTCGTTCACCTGCATACCATTTGCGTAGTTTGTGTATGCATTTATGTTACCAATGCATTGTTGCTTTATTTTTCATTCCGAAAACATTCCAAAAAATATTCCGAAAACATTTTGGATCATAGTTCGATTTATGATAGTAAAAGATCGTAACTTTCTTATGTTTGTTTTCAGTTTCCTTCTCGACGTTTCTTCCGTCCTCGCCTTGCCAAGGTTGAAATTTTAAACACGGTGCTGTAAACCAAACCTCAGGACATTAAGTTTATGTAAATATTGATGGATTACTAGAAAGATTTCCAAGATTCTGTTCCTTTCAGAAATCCTACGAATTAAAATACATGATTTCTATTACTTAAATAGCTATATGTAAATCTGTCAGTTTTAGCGCATTGTTTATTCAAAGCATGTTGACTGCCGTTATATTTAATTAATACTTGATTATTTTTGAGATGTGATATTTAATTAATGCTTGATTATTTCGTCGTACAAATAGGTAGCAATTTTACTTGTCTATGCTTTACAAAATATGTGAGTCCTAAATATGCCTTGATTTCGTCACATTATTCCATTTGGAATTTGGAAAGAAAATAAAGCTATAACATGATACTGACTTGCATGCAGGACATATTGGATTAAAGTGACACTGAACCGAAAGACACACGGAGCATACCCATCCAATACTTACTGGAGCACCATGGCAATGGCAGCTAGCTCGATAATCCACTGAAGTCGATGATGAAGGTGATGGAAATGCTGAACGTAGCGATGCCTTTCCAAGCGTAAAACACTATAACATTTCATGCAATATCTGATATTTATAAATAAGGTTATAGAGCGCTTTATGTGGATTTGTTTTTTGCCAATGCCATATTAATATATCTGTATTATCTTCACTGTTCTGACCAATAAATATAGTTCTGACCAATAAAGTAAGTGACCTAATCCCACCTAATCTCTTCCGAAGAATGTCCCCTGTGAAAAAAAAAGAAAAATGAATAAGACAAACGCAAGATGCTAACCATAGTATATTTCAGCAACTGCTTTGGTTTTTTAACGCTGAAATAAGTACCGCCAGTAATATCGCTCGCCTGCTGCAAAATTGTCGATGCTTCACCTAAAATTATAGCAACTTTTTCCCTGGATCAATCAAAAAATTACTGGAACCATTTTAAGATTTTAGAAAAAAATCTATCATTCTCAATTCATGGGAAAATAAATGAGCAATTATTGATTTGCTGCTTTTGCAAAAGAATAGAAAATTTACTTCTGTGCAAAAGCATTTTTAATATTCAGTTTAGAAAATAATTATAAGGATAAAAGGTAAATGCGCAACTAAGATTTTCGAAAATAAATAACGACAATAATCCAAGAAGTAGAATACAGAACATGTTTTCCAAAGTTTGTATATTAAGTATTCCTCCAACACTCCCACACTACAGGTTTTGCAGCCCAAAAAATGAAATAACGGCTGGACTGTGCCAACGCTGTATATTTACTCCGTGTCCACGCATTATATAAATTAATAGATTAAAACCGAAAAACTAACCAATATTGGCCACATCAATGAGAATATTATGCTTATGAGCAGCGAAGAAGATATTCATTAAAATACTATGCTCTCCACGGAGATCACTACCTATGTTGATAATAAGGATGCGCCCATCTCCGTTATCAACTTCATTCTTGTAACGAAAGATATCTGAAGAAATATTATTTAAAATAGCGCGATCATCCTTGATATCTGAAATAAACACCTGCACTTGCTTCACTCCAAGCAAATAACAAATAAATTACAATGGCTTTGTTATTTTTACTAAAAATGCAAGCTCCATTAACTATACTGACGAAACATCAGTACTTGAAGCAAGGCCTGAATTTAATACTTGATAATATTAAAATCCATTGCGTTAAGTTAGGCAGGATGGCGGTGTGTCATTAAGGGGGTATATTGAAACAGGTTGTATATTGAAACGGCTCTTAACAAAATCATTTTTTCAAAAATCAGAGAAATGGAACACCAAAACTCCCTAAAACTGGCAAATCAACCTGCAGATAGAAGGCATCAGGAAAAACAGTTACTGTATTAGACAGTGAAGCCAATGAAATAAATCATCTGAATTTATGAAGTAAAAAGTAGATTTTTAGGAATGAAAATCTTATTAGCTCCCAGCAAACAAGTTAAACATATACGACAAATGGCAATGGCAACGGCAGGTGCGAAAACGGCTGATTCCGTTGTATTTGTTGAAGAAGCCGACTTTTTAAGAGCATTTCGTACTGCTGTTTTTACTGCTGAACTCATATCTATCTAAATAAAATGCGCAATATTTTTAATTGAATTTTGAGTGTTCATTCAAGAAAGCTTCAAATATCAGTATTGTTAGCAAGCTCTTTTTCTATTCTTACATTATAATATATGGTCATCATCAAGGCTATTATGAACAGTTTACTTTTTTTTTAAACCACCAGTTATCATTTCAATGATCAAGGAGTATTATCATGAAACCTTCCGTAGCAAAGTTATATGATGACTTAGAGTACTGCTGTAGTGATACAATTTTTAAAACATTCAACAATAACTGGTACCATGAATAAAAAGGAACCACTATTCCACTATTCGGTTCAACCAGATAATTTCTATTTAGTTAGTAATTTAAACTTAAATGAAATCCTTTGGAAACTAACATCTATTGATGTATTTGTAGCGTAGATGGTTGGTTCCGAAAGTGTTCCATCAGCACCAATGACGATTATACGATTCGCCGCAGAAAGTGACATATGAGCTGTGGTATACGAAGTAATAGAATGGATCAACGTACAAATTACATTCTCATTGTTTCCCTTCTCAGCCAGTTCACCCCAGTGACGAGCATCACAGTCAAGCACAATGGATAGACAACTCATCCTTGAGCTAGTTAAGCACTCTGAAAAGTTGCAAACTTCCAATTTACGACCCATTAATCACGAGAAAGTGACCCTAACACCATAGTGCTAGAAAATAAACACGAAATGAAAACCTTTCCGTATTTCATTTAAAGTATTGACAACTATTTCCTCCTGTTCAGTTCTAATTTCCTGTTTGATAACTAAAACATTCAGAATCCAATTTTCTAGTACAGTGAGTTCGGTTATCTATATTGGTCACCTACCACCATTGGTCCGGATAAAATGACCCTTTAATTCTGGCCAAGTCAAATACAAGAACGTCTCCCCACTTAAATAATAATCGCAGTTAAATTGCTACTAATTTGCGTTCTCGACAATAGAAGTATAGAGCAAAAAATTTTCTTCCAATTAAATGAGCTTCTCTCCAGTAAAGATCTATTGGAAATTACGGAATTTTGCATAATGTAATATGTTAAGCATTCTGTCATATGTTAAACATTCTGGTCGGATTAGCATCACGAACACCTTGCAGTACATGAATCGACAAGTAATCTCACTGAATCAGAATCAGTCCGCAATATCTGTACAGTGCACAACACAACATTGGCTTCCTTTCATTAAAATTTATTTTTGAGGAAAAGCCGAAAACAATAGCCAAAAAGCGAAAGTATAATGACCAAAACACTTTTAGAATAAAAACAATTACTATAAGTCAGAAAATAATATGATGCAACAACGACACAATCAGAGAAATTTTATTTTACCAAAACGACCATCAAAATAAAGGAAATAGTACGTGCGTCAAATCTTCAAACCTGGAAGAAAGCTCCGAACATATTAAATTACTGCATTATACGTTCACAAATAGGTGTGTGATTGTGTTACGTTCTGTACATATGTATGTGTGTGTCTGTGTGTGTATGTGTGTGCTGATCAAGTATCCAGAGAAGAAAAATCTTTCTTTAATTTCAAAGATTTCAGGAATGACAACTTATCATTTTGTTCTTCTTCACTCGGGCTATCCTCTTCTGATATTCGGACGGTTGATGCATCTAGTATGCAACCTGGGTGAAATATCTGGAAGATAATACAAATAAGTGAGTGTGTGCTCCGAAATTTTTTTTTTTCATTTACTGTTGGCAAATTAGATGAAAGAAAAATTGACTTCCAGAAAATTTTAGAAATTAACTTCACATTACAACAAGTAGAACTTACTCTGCCATCCTGGCCAAGCATACAGTCCCGAAGTTTCCATACATCATCATCTTCATCCCAATATTCTTCGAATTTCTCTTTACATACACCACATTCCTGAAAGCCCAAATTAGATCGAATTCCATTTTAAAGTTTGAAATGCTATTTAAAAACCTGAATAAATAACTACTGTAATCTCAAAACCAACCAAAATCATTACCTTCGATGGGACTGTGTCAGACGGTACGTTATATGTTCCTCTGTTTGTATCCTTTGTTGCATCATTAGACCCACCACCTGTGAAAAAAATGTTGAAAAGCTTTGGATCAAAATTTTCTGACACAAAATATATTTTTTGTTCTAAAAATTCCAATGGAAAAGCAGTACAAAGACATGCTATTGTAAGAAAAGCGATTTATTTACCAGCAAGACGAGCTGCTGATGTCGATGCTGTTAATTCTTCTTGTTCACTAAATTCATACCATTCCTAGAACAAACAATACAAAACACCTTTAATTTTATTTCTGTGAATCCCCACCTGCTGTTGTGGGCAAAAAGAACTCCAGAAACGCGCATGAAGTTCAATATATCAGATGTCACCACTCTTCGTCAAACAAGAATTAACAAAAAAACTTACATCAATTGGTAAGTACCAATCACGGCAACGCGAACTTTCATTTGATTTTAGATTTTCACGAAAATGCCAGTCAAGATGTTGTTGGTACCTTTCACCTTTCAGCTCACTAAAGCGCAAACCGCAGTTGGGACAAAGACGTCTTTTCTGATGAAGGCTTTCCACAACAGACGTATACCGTCTGAAAGAAAATACTCAACGACAATTCATTATGACTTAGTTCATTTTTATTCAAAAATTGATTCTTAACATTCATATTTAACGAATATCGACAGAAATTTGGTAAACTAACATTCTAAGAGCACGCATCGAGAAAGATTTAAGGTCAGTTGGTGGTTTTGGCAATCTTTCGGTTACCTCACCACGATGTTCAGAAGGAATAGGTGGTGTTACAGATCGATTGGGTGAGTCCTCTCCTGCTCCATCTCTTCTATTATTCGCATTCAAAGCAGAAAGTATTCCCGTACGCTGCAGTTTAGCAAGCAAACCCTTAACATCGACTGTTCCCTGCGGTTCACTTCCAGTGGGGACTAAAAAGAACAAAAATGAAAATAACCAGACGAAGTGAAAGAGTTCCTCTATTTGCCCCAAAAATTAGCGAACCAGAGCATCAGTCAATTACGCCAATTTTTTCTTTCTCAAATTAAAAAAATTACAGAAAACGAAAGTTGTGAAAACCTGTAGTTTTATTCGACGTATCAATTCCTGTACGAGGCATATATCGCAGTAGCTCATAACATGGATCAGGCTCAATCTTAACTTCTGGAGGAGGTCCACCCAATCTTCAATAATAGACGTTTCCGATGAATCGACAGCAAACAAAAAATTTTATCTAGAAATACAACTTAAAGAGTAACTACATTACATACCGTATTTCATGGCGTATTCCATTAATCGTAGCAAAGATTGGTGGACCACCAAATGCACCTTTGAATGGATATGTTCCCATATACAGTTCACGCGATGGTGCTCCAAACCTATAATATACGTAAAAGTCAGAAAACTTTCTTTTTTTGGAAACATTCCGCAAATTCAACCATTACGTAAATTATAGATGCTTAAAACAGTATGCATAAGACTTCATACAAATAAATGGAAAGATGGCATCAATTCAATAGGAAAGATGTGGGATAAGAATTAAGATAATCCTCACTGCAAAAAGCATAGTTTTAATCTAATTATATATAGTAAAACCCCTGGAAAATTTACCTTAAAACGTGCTCCTCGCCATCAATTATCACCCTTTTTTCTTCACCAAATGCCAGTTGGTAAGCGGCACCATCTATGATTACATTGCGTGGCACACCCGTAAAATAGATCCTAAATTATAATTGAAATTACTGAAACACCCAGTTTGTATCGCTAATTAAGCTATTTCAACTAAAGATTAATTTTAAAAAAATTTGTGAAAACACAAAACCTATGCGGCAGACCATTCCTTTCGATAACTGGGACATCATTAATGTATGACACTTCGTAGGCCCGACCATCCACAAATATTCTGTTATTTGCTGGAATACCTTCCAACTTCGGAGTTTCGTTATTGATGATTGGTGGTACATGGTTTGAGTCGGTTCGTGTTAAATCTTGCGTATTTGTGGAAGAGGGTACTACAGGAGGACCTGCTAAAATCGAAGTCATATTGGGAAGTGGCATTGGTAAAGGTACTGTTGGCATTATAGGCGGTAAAAATGGTAGCGGACCCGAGGTAGATGGGATCGCAGGCAAAATTACTGGTCCAGAAACTGGCACTATAACTGGAGTGGGTGGTGCCGTTATCATGTTTGCACTAGAAGCTGCTTGTGCGCGTCGTGCAGTTGTAATGAAAGCATGAGAACCGAGGTCGTTTGTTGGACGTATTATGGAGGAAGATGTAGAAGGTGAATTCGTACGACGATCTCTGTCTAGAGGTGGTGTACGTATTCGAGGTTTCTTCTCCACAGTTTCCAGATCTGATACACATGGCGAAGATTTACGTTTTATGTCGTTCGGTGAACGTCCGCCCAGTTCTTGTTCTTTTCTGCAAAATTGTGTAAGTACAACCATTGTTTGAGAAACAGTAGAGCAGATAAGCCAAATTTTATAAGATCCAAATCCAACGTCAAACATAATGATTAAAACCTGCACCATCTAAACCTACCGCTTTAAAACTGAACGGTGAAAATGTCACTGTAAACAGTGGTAACACCAGAAAGTGATTTTCGTAGACAACCGTGGTGAGAACAAAGTAAAAATAAATAAGCCCGAAAAACACAACAGCATCCGAGTAGTAATGCTCTCAAAAAGTCTCAAATATTTCCTGAATAAGGCAAAACAAGCGCGGACAGTATTTTACACTGATGTATGCTGGATCCGATAACTTCCATTTCCTTATTGAAAATTTGATCAATTCCACATACATTAGGCGAATTGACAAGATGCAATTGCTAACAGTCGATTTTCAACCTTTCAGGCCAACCTTACTATCAACAATCAATAACACAGCTGAAAGTATCTGCAGTATTTGCAGATTGGTAAACTGTTAAACTTCCAAGTGGCTGAACAATTTTACCTTTTATGAAAAAGGGAATTACCTGTGCCCAAAACTCCGAGGACCGGTACTATCCAACAAGTTCCCAGTCTGCTGTGCATTTAATCTTTCATCTACATCACTGCTGTCGCTATAATAGTACAAAAAACAACACTACAAGATCTATTATTAGTTATCAACAAACCGATGAGTAAAAAAGTGGAAAGGTTCTGAAGAAGTCAACGCATAAATTAATAAATGGCTTAATAAATTATGTAGAAATTCTGATATTTGATAATCTTATGCTTTTAAGAATAAAAACTGTAGCTGTATGTCTCACATGATCGCATTATTACCGACCAAACATACTTCAGTGCATGCATTTCCTGATCCAATTCTAATGTTTGATCAAGCTCGAACACAAACAATGCCATTTTGAGATATGTACTGATGAGATAAAAATTTCTCATCAGAAATTCTTATCAACCTTAACGATTTACACGGATTTCAAAGTAAAGAAAATTTACATTGGTTCCTGCTTTACGATGACATTTGCCGGCTTCGCTGCAATCAACGATACTGGTCTGCCAGCTGCCGCTCCATCCGAATGTTTCATCAATCTCGGATCCAAACCTATCTTTTTCTTCTCACAGTTCATTTGCTGAAATAAAATCATTAGGAACACAACAAAATCAAAAAAAACTACCTTTGCCTTCTTGCTGTACTCCTCGATCTTCTTGCTGCCGGATATTCATTGAACGCGTGCATCACTTACATGCACAACTCATTTCCAACGATGACACACCTACCATATTTCTTTAAAAATGCATTTCCGGAACAACTAACTTTCCTGGAAGGCCTTTCCTAGGAAAGACAGTTATCCAGAAAGGCTGGATAACATAAGTGCAGAGGTGAAGAACAAATGCGGAAAAACACCATCAAATCCGCTATTAAATTAAATCAGTGATTTTGTACGACAAATTAGCACTGTCAAACCAACAGCTAAAAGATGTGCCAGTTTTTCAAACGAGAAGAAACAACTTCTTCGCAAAAAGATGACGACTGATGCTAGCTGCAAACGACACATGGCAATTTCTCTGGAAAGCTCTTTGGGGATAGTGGGAAAAAAGCATTAACTGAGATGTATGAGACACCCGTTACAATATTTATTTTTAAGTAATGAAACTGATTTCCACAGAAGTTTGGAAATGATATAACTGTAATATGGACAATATACAAAATCATTTCGTTGCAATAGTAAACATTGTATTATTATTAAATCATGTACCAATTTGTTGCCAATAGTAGCACTGGTAGCAGTAGTAGTAGTAGTAGTAGCAGTGGTAGTAGCAGTAGCAGTAGCAGACGTAGCTGTAACAGAATTTTTCTGCAAAAAATGAGGATTGACATGAACTTTCGCTGCTCGAGGTTGGTGTGGTGTTATTACAACAGGTTCTGGCCTATGTCCAGATACCGGAGTGTTAACTGGTTGAGGAGTAACAATCGGCCAAGCTGGATCAATTGCGTTTACAGCCAAATCTATTTTGTATAAAGTTGAACGCTGAAATATTCCCGTCCACGTTTGCCTGAGTTTATGCAGTGCCAAACGTGTTCTTTCATCACCCTGTAAACAAAATACGCTCACTCTATCACCCTTCCTTTTTTCTTACAGAGAATGGTCCACTTTAGAAGCAATTTTAACACATGACGCACATGAACACTGAAGACAACAAAAACGAACCGTTTCAAAAACATGCAGAAAAGCTTTATAAACAATCTTTTCAATATGTTCTTTGTAATTACCAGCGCCAGTTACATTTTTCAATATCGAATCCATAACATACATTACAGCTAATTTTTGAGGTGGTATAACCTGAAATCAAACGACTAGTGCTAATTACATTAAGAAAGGTCAATTTCCTGTGACTTATCGCAGTTAGAGTGTTGTACGTTACTTGTCCTGATTTCTGTATTAGAGTGAAATGCTTGACTTAAGCCAAATTATACGCCAATTACAACGCTAATCGTTCCTTGAGCTCTAATAGGCTTAATCTAATAGACTTACGCTCATTAATCGAATGGTAATAACATCAATCATTGTAGGAAAGAATTACGCCAATATATTCACACACAAACTACAATCCATTTATGAATTGTAGTTTGTGCATGAATCAGAATTGCAGCACATCTGCAGTTTGAAATCAAACTGAGTTACTCACTTTCATAATCTGTTGAGCAATAACTGCAACAATTTCCTTGGAAAATGAATTGTAATCATCGGCAAGAATAGTCATCAAATTAATCTGCATTTTGTTGTTGTCTTTTAAATCATCCAGTGCTTGCCTGCAAAAAGTAAACTGAAAAGCTTTTCCAAAACAAACAAATCTAATTATTTACAAACCAATAAATCGACAAAAACATAACAATTGTCTTGATCTATCTATCGCTTTGGCAATGAGGAAAGGTTCAAAATATTTTTAAACAGCTATATTGAAAAATACGATGAATGCGAAAAGTAATTGCTCTTCCAAACAATATTATCAAAATCTGTTAAAATGCTACTTGCTCTAAAACAATTTTGAAAAGATAAACAAACCTGTATTCCAGAGCAGCCTCTTCAGCATTTTTGGCCATGATCGCAAAAATGCTGTTCCTTATGATCACAATCTGAAACACTTT